CGGGAAAATGAGTATAATCATCTCTCCATGGTAAAGTTTTGCAGATAGGTATTACATGGCTGGTACTTTCATGCTCAGGATTACAGGACACTTTAGAGTTAACTGCCGTGTTTATCGGCAGTTGAGTGAGCTAGTATTACGGGTTCTATTTGATTGGACCATTTGAAAATCTCATTTGCATAACGAGTTATCGGCACTTTGGCGCCCGAAATTGGATACATTCTAACCACTGATTGGCTCATATTTTAAGCTTCAGCAGGGGATATGTATACATTACAGAGACCCTTCGGTCAGTACAGATTCAGCCCCTGATGAAGGTGCACTATTGTGGTACCGAAACACGCGTCAGGTTTTTTCTTTCTACTTTTCACCTATCTCACAGGGCACTCTATCACCATGTACAAGTAACCAACAGTCTAAGTATGGTTCTGCACACTAGCACGATGTAATCTTAGTCTGTCCTTTTTTCCTCCGTTTTGGTCTTTAACCCCTTAAGGACCAAACTTCTGGAATAAAATGGAATCATGACATGTCACACATGTCATGTGTCCTTAAGGGGTTAAACCTAGCTTAGGAGTGGGGTATTTAGTACCTTTTGAAATTTACAGGAAGGGTTACGCTAATAGTGACTACAGTTCTGAGAGATTCTCTGGCAGTGCCTTTAAGTTTAACTGCCTGTCACAAAGTCAGCTCCTATTTGCAACTAGTGGCAAACTTGATATGTTGTGTCAATTGTGTAGCATTGATGGCTTTAACTCAAATTTTACAGATAGTTATATTTGAACCATTTAACATGTTCAATTTTATGATGCAATATAAACGTATATATAAGTATGCCACCTTAACATATACCTAAGTTATCTCTACATAACAGTCGTCCTGTGAGTTGGGCTGAAGTATGTTCTGAACATTTTTGGGATATATTGGGCTGGTTGGTCATAGCGCACATATTGTCTGTGCCGCTATTGAGAGTTATGGGCAGTAATTTAACAGGAGATTAGCTTATGGGCTCCCGGCCCGTTGTGTGGCATTGAGTGTGTTAGATTTGGCGTTAATGTATGGGCTGGGTGTCCGTGGTTCGTCGTTGTGTAATCGAGTCGTATTTCGGAGCTTGGTTGTCTGTGTGACCCCATGTCTTAGCTTGTTTTGTCTGCTGATAGGGGCTTTTAATATGCCTTGGATCTGGTCTTGTAACTAGGGTAAGTGCTCCGTGGGTTACTATGCCCTTTAACCCCAGGGCGCTGGGGGGGGAGAGAGGTCTATAATCTATGTACGGGGCATTCGCCTCGTCTTTTCGGGGCGTGTTGGCCTTGGCAGACCGGTAAGGTTAGGTCTATGCTGTAAGTATTATAAAATAACTGGTATAACAACAAGAATGCAATCTAAACTAATGACATGTTAACTTAAATCTGAACATTTAGTCGCCACCGGTTTCAAGGTACAGTCCCAGGGTGTTCAGCAGGAATGTCCGTGGTGACCCTGGCTATTCCCAGTGTGGCCATTAGGGCTGGAGCGTCCCCCAAGGAGGAAATCTTATAGTGGTTGTCGCCTTTGGTCACCCATAGCATTCTTGGAGTCGCCCATCGGTATGAGATGCCTGCTGTTTGTAGGGTGGACGTGACTGGCTGCAGGCTCTATCGCCACAATAAGGTATCTCTGCTTAAGTCCTGGAAAAATTTAAGTTGGTGTGTTTCGAAGTCATGCGGTGATTTCCCTTTGACTGCTGTCATCAGAGAAATTTTGTCCGTGAGGGACTGGCATCTCAGGATAACATCTCGAGGGGCTGCTTGTGGTGCTAGTCGAGGTTTAGCAATGCGATATACGCCATCAAATGTAAAATGTTTTGCTTGCTTATATGTAGTGAGGCAATTCGTCCAGTGGTACCTCTTCAGGTACACCTCGTATTTTGATGTTCTTTCTTTTGCCCCTGTCCTCTAGTACATTTATTTGTCTATTAACATTTAACATTAGCTTGTGCCTTTTGCAGCTGAGTGACTGTGTCTTTTAGGGAGGTGAGGTCCTGGCGCACCTCTTGTTCTGCAGCATGGGTGCGGTGAGGTCCTGGCGCACCTCTTGTTCTGCAGCATGGGTGCGGGCCGACACCGCTTGTACTTCTGTTGCTAGTCCTTTTAGGTCAGCCTGCCACATAAGCTGGAGATTTCGCTGGAGGCCAGTCAGCATGATCTGAATGTCCTGTTTTGTGGCCAGGGTTAACTCTTCGGCGGGTTGCATGTTCGCGTTGTCAGTGGCATCCTGGGCTGTGCTGTGTTTAGAGTCACCATTCTCTGACCGCTCGGGTGAGGCTGTCGTGGCGGTTCGAGTCTGCTGTTGCATGGGAGTCTGCAGCATGCTGCTTATGTCCCTGTGCGGTAAAGAGTTGTTCTGGGCTGGTTTTTGTGACCTCAGTCCCATTTCTTCCTGGGAGTAAAAGTCTGTGTCGGCAGAGTATAAGCTCGCCCCGAGCCACGATGTTAATTCCCTGTTCAGGGTCTGCTCGCGTGTATGGTAGGCCCCAGTACCTTTAGCGCGGCGTTTCGTGCCCGATTTCTGCATAAACGGCATCTGTGGAATCAGCCAGTTGTCGGGAGTGTGTGCCCGCCGCTCGTTTTTTCCGGTGAGGTTTATCTTTATGTTTTTTAGTAGTTTTTCCGCTCTTATTTGTTAGAGCTGCTGGAAATGGCGCCCTCTCCGCTGCGCCGCTAGCTCCACCCCCCCCAATTGTGTAGTATATTAATAACAACATTATCCAGTTTACAGCCATACTGTGTGGTCTTTTGACTTAAGGTTCCACACAGGATCTTAATCCCACTTACCCCTATGGGTTGACCTGTATCCCCAGACAAACTAGGTAGCACCATTTCTTTAGAGTCTGAGTTAGTACAGATATTCATAAAGACCTAAGCATTGGAGGTTAGCCATTTGGCATTAGTGATTTTCAATTTCTTTCTGACCTTTCAGTTTGGGAGTATGTTTATACACTTACACAGTTTTATTTATTATTATTCACTTGACACAACATTATTCCCATTTATTTAGACTTCCAGTTGATACTTGTATGTCTGAAATTGTTATCCAGCAGTTTGAGTATCCTTTGCAGTTTATAGGGAAAACTGTTGCCTGGAGGAACTTCTAAAACAATTTCCATATGTCCTTTGCAGACTTTACATGCTGTAAAAACACAGGTGCCAACTGCTGTGGCTTTCTGCAGTGTGCATACCGGCAAGGAGGGCAGGGTTGAGGAGTGGGTGGAAGATGATGTGTGCTAATCTGCTAATAGTACATTTTGTGGCCTGCTCTTCATATCTGAGAGTCAAATCAAAGGGTCTAATAGTGTGCTTTCTGCGCACTTGTAAACATTCTAATTGTTTTGCTGCTAATCTGCTAAATAGTACATTTTGGGGCGTGCACTTCATATCTTAGAGTCAAATAGAAGCGTCTAATACTGCGGTAACAGCGCAATTCTAAACATTCCAATTGTTTTGCTGCTAAACTGCTAAATAGTAAATTTTGGGGCCTGTTTTTCATATCTGAGAGTCAAATTGAAGTGTCTTATAGTGTGCTTTCTGCACACTTGTAAACATTCTAATTGTTTTGCTGCTAAATAGTACATTTTGGGGCCTGTTCTTCATATCTGAGAGTCAAATCAAAGCGTCTAATAGTGCACTTACTGCGCACTTGTAAACATTCTAATTGTTTTGCTGCTAATCTGCTAAATAGTAGATTTTGGGGCCTGTTCTTCATATCTGAGAGTCAAATCGAAGTGTCTAATAGTGTGCTTTCTGCACACTTGTAAACATTCTAATTGTTTTGCTGCTAATTTGCTAAATAGTACATTTTGAGGGCCTGTTCTTCATATCTGAGAGTCAAATCGAAGCGTCTAATAATGTGCTTACTGCGCACTTGTAAACATTCTAATTGTTTTGCTGCTATTCTGCTGCTTACATTGGAGTTTTAAAAAGTAAATTATTTTTTTTGGCGCTAAATAGTATATTTGGGTCGTTCACTTCATATCTGAGAGTCAAATTGAAGTGTAACTTTGATTCAAATTTACTACATCGGTCACTTGTAATATTGTTTCACACCTACAACACTTGTTACACAGATCTAAGTGATAGAAAACAGATTGATATTTTCTACACTAGAAACTACCAGATAACAAGCTGCTATATTTAAACCAGTGATCAATAACTAAGAGGTATTTCAACAATATTGTAATTCTGTAATACCCTCACAAGTCAAACTGAGAGGTCAGTTTTAAGGGAAAACTGTTGCCTGGAGGAAATTCTAAAAGAATTTCCATATGTCCTTTGCAGACTTTACATGCTGGAAAACAACAGGTGCCAACTGCTGTAGTTTTCTGCAAGTTCATACCGGCAAGGAGGGCAGGGTTTATGTGGAGGATGATGAGGTCCTAGACCCCACATGGAATCAAGGTCATGCGAGGGATGTGTGCAGTTTGGAAGAAGAGGCGCAATGGCACAGAGGCACCAGCACAGCATAAGAGGGAGCAGGGTGCAAAAGCAGAGCGGCCGTCCCCTAGCGCTAGTCGGCATGTATTCGCTCGAGAATTACCAGTTATCCAAGTAATACATGTAGTGATCAAAGGATTCATAATAGACTTGAGCGAACTCGAACTGCAATGTTTGGGTTCGTACCAGATTTAACGATCCATTCATAGTTTCACAGTAAGGTGGGCAGTCCGGTAACCAGGACCCAGACACTGTCAGGATGTGACATTCACTGTAGCGGCTGTGTGCGCTTTTGGCGTTGTCACCCTGCTGCTGCTTGCCTGTCTGCGCTGCAGCGTAACTTCGGCCTTCCCGCTCACCGCCTCATGAGACTTTGCGAGCAGCAGCAGGCGATAGTGGAGTTATAGCTGCAGCACGCACGAGTCAGTGGCTCTGCACCAGACTTCCCTCCAATTGATCAGAGTTAAAGAATTTCAAGCGGACTCATTACAATTACAGGGCCTTGAAAGAGTTCTGTATTGTTATTTGTCGTCACTACCTTCCCGCGTCGGGGGTGGGTCATTTGCGCGCCTGCTGCCTTCCTTGCATGTGGTAGCTGTTTCTCAGGGTCCCTGTACGGAATGGAATCCTGATTCCCCGTTACCCGTGGTCACCATGGTAGGCGCAGAAACTGGCATCGAAAGTTGATATGGATGACATCCGCATGAAAAGTCGCCGCCACAGGGATGTGCGATTTGCCTGAGGTTCTCTAGAGTCAACAAAGTTCCTGCGCAACTATAATATCAACAGCTACTCTGCAGAACAGAGTTGTCTTTTTTTATATGTCCCAATATTTTGGGGGCTACCCCAATTAAAATATATATATATATATATATAAACAGTGTTTATATACTCCCATTTACTATTACTCCCATTTTACTTACTTTTGCAGCTCTCTAGCCCTTTCCAGGAGTTTTTTAGAGGCATTTTTGTGGCCAAAAGTTCGGATCGCCATTGACTTCAATGGGGTTCGCGTTCAAGTTCGGGTTCAAGTTTGAGCCCGAACCCGGACTTTTTTTCAAAGTTCGCCCGAACCCGCCGGACCCGAACATTCAGGTGTCTGCTCAACTCTACTGATGACACTAAGATATGTAACAGGGTTGATGTTCCAGGAGGGATAAGCCAATGGCAAATGATTTAGGTAAACTAGAAAAATGGTCAGAGTTGTGGCAGCTGACATTTAATGTGGATAAGTGCAAGATAATCATCTTTGACGTTAAAACCTAAGGGCAGAGTACAGAATATTTGATAGAGTCCTAACCTCAACATCCGAGGAAAGGAATTTAGGGTTAATTGTTTCAGATGACTTAAAGGTAGACAGACAATGTAACAGAGCAGCAGGAAATGTTAGTAGAATGCTTAGTTGTATAGGCAGATGTATTAGCAGTAGAAAGAGGGAAGTGCTCATGCCATTATATAGAACACTGATGAGACCTCACTTGGAGTATTGTACGCAGTTTTGGAGACCGTATCTCCAGAAGGATATTGATACTATGGAGATAGTTCAAAGAAGGGCTACTAAACTGCTTCATGGATTACAGGATAAAACTTACAAGTAAAGGTTAAAGGATCTTCACATGTATAGCTTGGAGGAAAGACGAGACAGGGGGTATATGATAGAAACATTTAAATACATAAAGGGAATCAACACAGTAAAGGAGGATATTATATTTTAAAGAAGAAAAACTACCACAACAAGAGGACATAGTCTTAAATTAGAGGGGCAAAGGTATAAAAATAATTTCAGGAAGCATATTACTTTACTGAGAGGGTAGTGGATGCATGGAATAGCCTTCCAGCTGAAGTGGTAGAGGTTAACACAGTAAAGGAGTTTAAGCATGTGTGGTATAGGCATAAGGCTATCCTAGCTATAAGATAAGGCCAGTGACTAATGAAAGTATTTAGAAAATTGAGCAGACTAGATGGGCCGAATGGTTCTTATCTGCAGTCACATTCTGTTTTTCTGTGTTTCTATTTTTCTACTTATAACAAACGAATAGCATTTGTATCTTAGCCCATTTGTATCTGTAGCATTTGGTACCAACCATGGTTCAACTTGTGATTTTGCCACATTACTTTTTATTACCAAGAGAACCAGTATGTATTTCAACAGTAAAGGGACACTGTAGGCACCCAGACCACTTCAGCTAATTGAAGTGGTCTGGGTGCTGTGACCCTTTTGCACTTAGTGCTGCAATGTAAAACATTGCAGGTCCAGAGAACTGCAATGTTTACACTGCAGCTCTAAGTTTGCCCTCTGTGGCTGTCTAACAGACAGCCACTAGAGGGCTTCCGGAATCCAAAAAGACTTTTGGACCTCCAGCGGTTTGTTTTTTTTGGCAATATTTAGACAAAATCTTGTAAATGTAACTTTCTTGACATGCTGTTGGTCTGAAGTATACTCATAATTAGATCATACATGCCAAATTGCCCTTTCCTTCTGAGGGGTGAGATCTTGCATTCATGGGACTTTGGTGGTCCACCTAGGTGCATCAGTGAAACAACCAATAATACATTCTAGAAAGCTATCTGAAACTCAGATCTCAGGAATTAACAAAAAGAAGACACGCTGAAGAAAAGTATTTCCCAGCTGTGGGATCTATAAGAAGGCTGCTGCTCGGTTCATAGCTGTGTACAGCACCAGGGGAGGTGAGAGGTTACTGTCCTAATTGTGCATGTGCATGCTGTGTAGACATGTTGGGCAGAACTTACATGGCACTTGAGGAAGTAAAAGTTCCTCCCTTAAGAATTAAGAAACAGGAGACCAATCTTATGGCTGCAGTGATTTTTTTGTAAATCCTTGCAGTTATAAGGCACTCTCAGCAGGAAGACATTGCGCAGAATACTCTCAGAATACTAAAATAAACATAACCTTTGAAATTATGCAGAGCTGTTATGGTGCTTAGGGTCTTTTAAAATTGTTGGGGTAAAGTTTTTATTGTCAGGTCTTAAATGAGTCTGGATTCTGGAGTCTAGATTCTGCTTGTCTTTAATTTTGAGATGTCCTGTTATACGTACTGTTAAACAGATTGCAATAGCATTTTTATCTCTCATATTTAGATATTCGAAGCAATTAAGAGTGTTTATTTCTAGTTTTCTACTGGAGTTAGGAACATTGCTTATATCAACTATATCTAATATTTGCTACAAGACATTATACAACATTGCCCTGTGCAACAGACATGCAAACAGCATTTTTATGATGACAACTATGTTCTCCTTTGTGATGTATTTAAGACTTCTTTAGATACATTCTTTCTTTCCTTGTAATATTAAACTTCATTAAAAAGTGCTACTCAGTCAATTAATCTCGCTGATCTTGACCTTCACATTCTTGAATTTACCATTTAGGGTTTCCTTATTTTAGCTTCCTCTCTTTCTCTCGGAATGCAACGTCTTGCTCATATTTAGGGTCTCTCAATCCACTACCTTGTCCTGCCTCATTGTTTCTCCCCCCCACCCACTTTTGCTGTTTTTTTTTTTATTTTGTATTTTTGCAGTGCATATAGAGTTTACAACAGGCCTGAGGTACCCCAACGGCAGTCCACAGGCAGATCAACATGTATAACAGTGGGGTAATCGAATGATCACGCACAATTTTTTAATAATGTCAAGCTAGAACGGAGATGTATATGTCAAAGTAAAGATACGATTTTATACTACTAGATTTGCATCGAAGGGAGTTACTGTAGTCTGGAGCTGCAGTGTGTTAGCCATAGTACATTATTATTATTAACTAGACAGTGCTAAAATATTGTTAACTCAAAGTAGAATATTGTCTAAACTACTGTTCTAAAATCCGATTAATGCTGGACCTCTAGGTTGTCCGGCTGCAGTACTGCAGTTGGGCGCTTGTGGTAGTGCCCCTGTTAGCCGATGCCCTCAGCTGGAATACTGTCGGTACCCGCTGAAGGTCCTCTGGGAGCTGCTGGTGTGAGGGTGTTCAGGAGAGTGACCTTTTTGCGCCAGGTCTGTATGAGGTCTGGCATCCGTTGACCACTAACTCGGTGCTTGCTATAGTCCAAGTTTCTTCCCCTAGTAGGGGTAACGGGGGGCCTGGTGGTTTGCTTGTGTGTGCATAGCTTGGGCCTCCGTTTGTGTGGTTGAGGCTGTCGGGTGTTCCCCGGTCTGACCTTCAACCAGGGTGGGCTCTGTGGCTTGGAGGTAAGTGGGGATTTTGTCGCTGTGCCCGAGGACATTCTCTTCACCTCCTTCTGCCTGCGGCTCTGCTTACCCTTGGTCTCTGGAGTGCATTGTGCGTGCTGGGCTGCCTGATATCGCTCCCAGAACTGTTCCCAAAAGCAGTTGAGGTTTCGTCTATTCCATGGTGTTTTGGTGCCGCCTTTCGAGTGAGTGCAGGCTCTGGTCAAGTATCGCTGTTTCAGCCGCCATCTTAGGTGCATCTAGCATAGGAGCATTGTGACTTTGCTGTGTGTGTTTTTTGGCAGGCTGGTCGCTCCAGACTTCCAGTTCGGACCGAGATATCCCCCATTGGTTCGGGGGGAGGGGGGGTAGGAGGTGAGTGTGCAGCGGGGTCAGTATATGGAGGTGCCGGTGCAGAGAGCGGCCGCCTCTCCCCGGCTCCATGGTAGGTAGGCCCCATGCTGTGTTTGCGGGTTCCCGGTGGTTGAGTGTTCCGTTTTTTATCTCTGTCTGGTCCCCCGGTTGTCCCTATCTTCGCTGTCCCCTTCCAGGCGATGTGCATGCCGCTTTTCTGGGGTTTTATCCCTTGATTTAAAGATTTGTGCCAGGAGCTGATAGATGGCACGTCCATTCAGCCTGATAGCTAGGCTCCGCTCCCTACTTTTGCTGTTTTAAACCTGCTCCAGCAACTAGCTTCCTCTCATACCTGCTTAACACCTATTGGCAATTATCTGTATGCCCTCAAACCTGTATCTGTTCTCTTTCTCTAAGATTTAACAAACCATATTTGTAAGGAATGCTACTGGTAAAAAGAATGGTATTTATGAGGACCCACAGATAAAATATCTATATGTAGCTTACACAGTTGAGACTGTTATAAAACTGACTGTTTTTTTTTGGTATGGTATGCATCTCTTTTTAAAACAGATTCTGATTCTTTGTACAATAAAAAAAAAAAAAATACAGCCAACTTCTTTAAAATACCATCATTGCAATATGCTCCTAATCCTTCTGGTCATATTTAAAGAGCAAAAACCATATTGTTTATTTAGCACCCAGATATTCCACTTTTATAATAGGCGTTTCCTCTAAAAAGCTGTGTTGTTGTGTACTAAAATGTAATGGGTTTTGCTTTTCCTTTTAACATAGTTAAACCATTCAAAATTTATAAAAATCAATTTCCTTTAAATAATTCACTTATGTTTTCTAATCTATACTTGTAAATAAAAAGTAGCACATCTTTCACAGCAAATACAAAGTTTTCATTTATTCTGAGCTCTCAACGAACGTGTCATGATTAATTAATTACTATCATTAAAATATTTAATTTGATTGAATCTATTTGAGGTTATTTTTCCTCCAGTGATTATTGCCAAAGACATCAAGAATTTTCATGACGGATGACTAACGATGGACTGATGTGCAACACACTGATGAGTGCAAAATGATAAGCTGGGTTGCATAAGAACTTAAACTGGAAGATTCTAGCTCGAGAACAATGCCTCTGGCTGTGAACATGTGTGATAGACTATCATCACCTCTATATCTCGAATATGCTCTGATGGTCCATTATACTTTGCCTGCCCTTTTATATTTAGTTGATTGATGACCAGTAATGGACAAAGACACATGCTATCACTGTAACGCCAAGCAGAGTCATTTAGCAGACGTAATTTAAATTATTTAAATTAGCATTAATATCCCTCCTCTTTTCTGCCCTATTTTTACACACGTTCCCATTTTTGCTAGTCTTAATTCGTTTCTTTTCTTTGTTCTCTACTTCCTATTTCATTGTATAAGCCTATACATTCAATATATTTTGCAATTATATTAGAATATATTTGAATGTTGTTAACTATGTAAGATCTTCTGCCACATATATAGATTTATTATATTTTTTTGTAATGAAATAATGTATGTATTGGTTAAATGGTGAATAAATGGCAGTACAACTTTACTTAAATGGAAGTTGTTATTTTTATTTTTTAGCATTCAGCTTTTATTGGGAAAAAAAGAATAAGATTATAACATATGAAAAAGAAAAATTACACTTACGGCTTTCCATTTTTGATGGTGACAAAGACCAATAAGGTACAAATATGTGAGTGTACATTAAGTGTACAGTGATATCAGGAGATATGTATAACCTCAATACCTCAATATGGAAAAAGAAATGTAGATTACGTGAATGTGCACATGGCAGGAGGTGGTCAGCCACGTAATCAAAACAATGAAGGAGAAGAAAAAAAGGGGTGGAGGAAGCAAAATGTTATTTTCTTTTGATCCCCAAGGGAATTGATATTATATCTGCAAGAATGATGATACAGAATAGAGTATAGAAGAAAGAAATGTAGGAAGAGAGGAGGACATTTAGAGGAAAGAGAACTAGTATAATGGGGTAGAAGATGTCAGGTGAAGGGAGAGTGCAAGAATTAGTCTGAGAGTTTGTCTAAGGAGTATCTGGACTAGGTAAGACCACACCAGCAGCAGTAAAGGATTGTTTCTTTGAGCTGGGGGGGTGGGGTGGTTTAGTCAATGACTCCGTTTGTCGTAGGCCTTCTCAGTGGATAGGGACCGATGAACATGTTGCACCAGGTATTCTGTCTCTTCGGCAGTAGTCAGAGCTGCTGGATCTTCTCACGGGTGATATTCTAAAGGGAAGTGTACTAGTCCCTAAAGGCAACAGAAATACATGTGGGAGAAGAGTGTATGTGACCATCTGAATGAATCTTGCTGATGTATGTTTTCTGCCTTTAGTCCCTGATCTCTAGTTAACATTTTTCAGCTTTTGTTACTAAACTCATAAAAAGACTTTCAGACCAAGAGTCAGTTGAACCCAAAGGTTTAAGAGAGAATTCATTTCCAAGCAAAGAGAGATTAAGTGTAAGAAGCCGTCATCAACCAGGGTTTCTTTGTGAGCAACTTCAAGGGTTGCTATTTGATTGAAAAGTGAGAGGACCCTCTCGTTGCATTGTTTTAAAACAGGCTGAAGTGAGTTGGATAAAGTGCCCATGAATCACATACTTGTGGGTCTCCCAGATAACTAGTGAGGATGCGTTGGATGGTACATTTTCCTCGAAGTATTGAATAAGGTGGGCTTTTATTTCTGCAATGAGTAAAGGGTTGTGTAAAAGCAATTATCAAAATTTCCTCTTGAAAGGAGGCACAGCGTCTTAGCACTTTTGTTTTTTGTTAGTGAAGTACACATTAGCGAAGATAAAAAGGGAATCATTGATAGTCCCCTTCACAAACAAGTAACTGCACTCTGGGTCAGTGGCCTCTGAGACAGGAACGGAGGAAGTGGATGCTGAAAACAATATCGCCACCACACGGGAGTGGTTTTGTGGGTTGTTAGCAAAAAGGCCTAGGGTAAACATTGATCTGAAAAGTTAGCCTTGGATGAAATGAAATTCACTTCCTGGAAGAAGGTCACAGAGGCCCTCAGGGCCCACAATTCTCAAAGGGCTCTACCCCACTTAATAGGAAAATTAAAACCATTGGCATTTAGAGTAAAGCAAGTAAAGTCTACCTGGTCAGCAGCCATTGATGAGCTTAAGAGATATGGAAGAGGAGGATGGATAACGTTAAGAAAGGGAGAGAAATAAAAATAGAACGAAAGGAGAGAAGAAAGTTGGTATTGAGGAGTACGAAAAGCAGATGTACAAAAATAGGCAGGAACAAAAAAAAAAGGGTTTCCTAAGACTAGCAGAGGCAATATGCCACTAGCCACAACAGTAAAGGATAACTGTCTAATCAGTACCAGAGCCAGAGATCAGACATTAAACCTGGTGGGTACTTAGCAAAGCAAATCACATGGTAGATCACAACCTGCCACCTCAGCCATATTAGAATCATTTTTAACAATAACAGCAGCATTGTAGAGTTTTTAGAATGCATTTAGGGACCACAAAAAATATATACTTACACATTTATGGGCAATGTGTTCCTCCAAGGGTCATTGCCCTATTTCAGGGAGGATGTATAAAAAAAACCTCCTCCCATCGATCAATCCTAGCCCCTCCCATTGGGATGAGAAAGGTCAGAGTGCCTAGGCGCATTGATCGTCGTTCAAAACCACTCACTCAAGGCCCCATCCCAGGTAACCAGCCCCCGGCTGTACACAAGGGCTGGAGACAGAGAGGCAGGAGGGAGCCAAGTCGGTGAACAAGAGCAGAGGAACCCACACCACGGGTGAAGCTTGACAAGGGCCCCACAAACTTCCACCCATCCGCTCACTCCCTCTTCCAACAAGTATCCAAGGATCCAAGACCCAGTTCCCCTGTAACTGACCGTTTTGCACACAAGGGGTAAAAACCGTTTAGTAGATCTTCCCCTTCCAGAGATGCAGGCACAGCTACTGCAGAACACCAATCCGTAGAACAGGAAACCATATGAATGCTGTAAGCAGCCGAATAGGAAAAACCATACGAATAGGTTTACACTCCTAGCAGTCAAACTGGAACAGAATACAGTGAATCCCCCCAAGAACGAGACAAAGCTCCGTGTTGAGGGTCAAGCAGTGAACAGACAGAGCTGTGGGTTTATTGTTCTTATGTACACATTCTTACACATTAGTAACACCCACAGGATTTTGGAACACAACCAATAAACACATACAATCATGGGCGTCCGCAGGAATTTTTCCAGGGGGGGGCATAATTGTAATGACATCCATGCTTGGTACCTTTTTGACAGTGTCATGAAAGGGAAGGGCATAGCCATTATCACATAAAGCCAGGGTGAATAGCGTTTTCACAACTATGGTGTCAGGAATATAGGTTTGTATTCCTGACACTATGGTGTTCCTTTAAGCAAATTAAAGGACCATTCTGGTCACCATAACAACTTCACCTAAATGAAAATGCTATGATGCCAGGAAGTCCCTGGGTGCTCGCTTTCCTTTAAGGGGTTAAATCGCTGTCAAATGGTTTAACCCCAAAGGCTTCCTCCAGCTCCAGGTCGCTCAGTGGTATTTGCAGATTGACGTCAGGCATGGGTGCCGCTGATTGGCTAGAGTGGACAGTTGACGCTCTAAGCCAATCGCTAGTTCCCGGTTCATAAAATATTTTTACTTTTTTATGAATGGGGAGCTACTGATTGGCTTAGAGTGCCAGCTGACCGCTCTAGCCAATCAGCAACACCCCTACCCAACGGCCCTCTGTGCTTCCTGACACTCAGTAAATAAAAGTGAACACATTAATACTGATATTTTTTTACCTTTGGAGATGAGAAGGTCCAGTGTTTCCCTGCCTGGCCCAGGTACCAAAGCCTTATGATGTGGTGTCCAGAATAAAGTGGAGGGTTCACTTCATTTGTCCTTCCTGCTCCAATCTCCTTT